CTCTGCTCCATGCCCATGTCTTATCAGGGCCTGTCCGGCCAACCGTTCCTGCCGACGATAATTACAGTTGTTGCTGTTGCCACTGGCATTATTTTCGGTTACTTTCGGCTCTGGCTCTCCGCCGTGGTGAGCCGAGGGGCGATTATCAGCTAGGCGGCGTGAGATTGTACCACATGCCGTCCGGGGATGGTCGTTTTTGGAAAATGCTTTTATTGAGTTGCCAATCAACCAAACACCAGGCCTGGGTATCTTTTGCGAATATTCATAGGTTATAATGATTGAGCCCAGAAATCGATGTAAAATAAGTGATCAGGTGCGGTCTCATTGGAAACTCTTGTAGAAAGAATACGAGCAACTGCAGAACTCTTCGCAGTCTGCAGTAAATAAAGCGAATGTCAAACTGAAACATTTATTATTAACATGAATTGGCATTTAAAGGTTTAGGTTAGGGTTTTTTTCCTTAGAAATTTACTACCTATACATAGAAAAATGTTTGGAAAGTTGGTAGCAAGTGTTTCCACTTTAAATTGGTATTTTTTGTTAGGCATTTAAATCAGTAGCAAGAGTCGCTTACTAATGGAACACTAATTTTCGTATTTACACTTACAATAAGCAAGTATTGAGCTGCAGCCCCTAAAAATGTATTCAAAAATGATTCAAACGTCTAACAAACTGTTTTAATTATTTTACTAAGTGCAATTAAATTATAAAAACTTATTATTACATATTTGAATGCTTGGTTGAGAAACTTTTTGATTTTATAATCAAAATTATAAACTTTATATTAATTATAAAATTATTAACAACAATAGAAACATTTTTGGAAAATTATAGGAATAGGAAATGAGGAAATTTATTTCTCTGCTGATAGGTAGTAAAAATTTACTTAAAATATTCATTTAATCAGGCTCTAGAGTCTAGACTTTTTTGTAAAGGTGCATAATTACCGCTGTTATATTACAGCTGTTTTTGAGAAATAGGTTGCAGAGACTCAAAAATATAGGTTTTTTAAAAAAAAAAACAGTTTGGCAAGCAAATATAATTGTTTGTCGCATTACCCTTTGGGCTATTCGCTTTTCACATTTAACGGGAATACTCATACGCATATGCCACATATCGGATACAGTTATCCATAGTATGGATGGATTCCATTCCCCATGAACGTTTTAATATGAGACCAGTTTCTTATAATATACGTTTTCAAAAAACGGATTTCTTCAAAAATAATAACGTTACAACATTATCGATCAAGCGGTTCTATGGAAGCTATAGGTCTATATACATAGCTATAGGTATATGAGAAGTTTGGAGCTGATAGGTTCAAAAATGAGAGACTAGGGGTGGACGCAGACGTGGTTGTGTTTACTCAGGAGAAGACCTGATCCAAAATAAATACACTTCGAGAGCTCCTAGATGTGAATGTGAGAAATGCACTATGCAATTGTACGAAAATGGGTATGCATAGTTTTGGGTCCTACAATGAATTGTTTCTATTCCTAAGATATTTAGCATTTAGCACTTTATCCGATAAAGTTGGCCGTTTCTAGGGTAATTTTAAAATGAAAGCAGTTTGTTCAAAGGAAGTTCAATTCCCCATTAAAGTTCCTTACTCACAAAAATACGAATTGTGGCACTTTATTACAGCCTCTGAATAGCTTGATTGGATCTTTATGGAGCTCCGAAGTATGGCCAAAAAAGGGCTAGAAAGTGTGTATGAATTAAATAAATAGACGCACTTTTCGGCTCTTCCACAGATTCAGTTCGATTGTGAGATACAATTTGTAACACTTTGTGCATGTCAAATCAAAGAAAACACCTTTTCTCATAGGTGTTTATACAAAACGAACTTAGCTGGGAACTCTTGAGTGGAAGTGCTTCCCGAAATTGGCATGAAAGTTTGCGACTGTCACCCCTGAATGTAAACTTTGATGTAAACTATAGGTTTCACTTTTTATCGGCAGGTGACATCAGTAAATTTTTGCAACTTTTATTTATTTTACATAATACTTCATTGCAGATAAAAATATTATAAAAATTTTAATAAACAAAATAATAAAAATTGAATAAATAGATGAGTAGAGAATCAAAATGGATGAGTAACAATATATTTCTCCTTCTATTTGACCCCAACAAGGGACAAGGGCAACCATATCATATAGTGTTTCGCATGCGAAATAATTGAACGTAAAACTGCCTTTAAATGTTGAAATTTTTCTAAGTTTTCGGTTTTACATTTTGCAGGCCAACATTTCCATTCCAATTAAAGCTTAGATACGATATACAATCATTGCAATCACCTCCTTTGTTGTTGGATTTGGAAAATGCAAAGTAATATACATGGTGGCTGGTGACGTAGCATAGGCAAAGGGCAACTACAATAACAATTTTTCGTGGTAATTTCCTGTTTTTCGCACTAATTTAAACGCATTTTGCTGTCAGATTGCCAAAAACTTTTCACTGAAGAAATACATTCTTGTTTTTGTTTCTGCCAAATGCCAGAACATTTTTAAATAAGATTTTTAAAAATGGGAACTCCTGCTTTATGAAAATACTTAAAGGAATGTGATGACTTTCAAAATTGTATTTTCGGTCCTGGTAGAGCTTTTTCTGGAAATGGCCAAACAGAATATCTAAAAATAGATACCGGTAAAATAAGGGTTCGAGTACTTCTATTACTAATAATACTAATCTATGAAGAATAATGAAAAAGTACAGTACTCGTTACAAAATAATAAAAGTAATCAAAATTTCCAAAAATATTGCGATAAGAGTAATAGACAAAAAAGAGTATCCCCATAGCGATGGCGATAAAGAAAGCCATTCCAAAGTTGTTACACATGTCACCCGCCGTCCCGTGACTTCTAGAAACGTACAGAGTAGCAACCCCAAAATCGTTCAAAACAGGTTGTTTAAACCATTTTTGGTGATTGATTTTTTATTGTTCTATTACGGGCAGGTGTTTCAGTAAATATTTCCGGACAAACCGGCATAGAAACTTGGGCTCGAGTTTAGGGATGCTATTCCTCCTCTATAGATGCCTCGGGGAAAGAGTCCTGGCTCTGATCTGTGAAGTTTTTTTCGATCGTTTTTGATGGAATTCAAGAATATAGAGATCTGCGCTGAAACAGGTCTCGGGGAACGGGAGAAGGTGCAAAGTGGGTCGCGGAATCAGATGTGGGAACAGGTCTTGGTTATCTAATTCGGAGCGGCTGTGGAGAATCCAGTGATAAGCGGCCCGGGGGTTGCGGATCGCGGATTTGCGGATGCAAATCGAACATGCCCCCAGTGCGTGATCGCCCGCCCATATTCCCAGTCCCCAGTCTTGTTTGTTTTTCCGTCTCTTGACCTTGCGACGCCATCTGGACCAGTTGCGAGAGCAGCGCTCGGATGGGTTCGCCGCGAAGTCGATTTCCCTATCAGCCGATGACGCAGGTGGGTCGAAGGCGATTAATCTACTGGATCCCCGATTTGGGGAGAGGGGTTTGGCGAGGTTGGCGGGGCAGTTGCCTACCTCGACGACTGCCTTCCAATTGCACTTGCCAAGCCCGAGCCGACTCAACTGCGATTTGCATACTGCGCACAACCACTTGACTGGCGGTCAGGAACACGTGAGGCAGCCAGCGCACTTTGAGTCGAGCCGGGCACTGAGTGCCCCGCCGGGCGACGGGAGCCGGTAGCCGGTAGCTGGTAGCTGGGAGCAGCAGCGCCTTCGAGCTATGAGTTGCTGGCCGGCGATGCGCAATTTTCCCAATATTCACTTCCTTTTATTTTCTTTTTTTTTTTTTTTGTGTTTTGCAAATTGTTACAGTTACATTTCGTTTGGTTAGCGGCGCCGTCGTCGGCGGCGTCGTGGCTGGGGCGCTGTCGGCGACGTTCTCAGACCCAGTCGCTAGTTTTGGCGCTGGGTTTTAGTATTTGAGCGTTCTTCGCCGCGTTAGCTCCTACTTCTGTGCGCTCTGCGGTCGCTTTCTGGCCCGTCGGCTCCAGCAGCGCTGCTCCTCCGGGTATCGTTTATTGATCAAGGTAATTGCCGTCCTAAAACCCATACCTATTGTCACCCAATCGCCATCTTGGCCACCTTCATTTCCGCCTCTCGTATCTTGTACCCCAAACTGATCCCGGTAGCCCTCCTCCCAGGTGTCTCTTCCATCGCTACTCCACTTGTGTTTGCGATCAGTGTTTGGATCTTAGCTCCAACAATGGTGTATTCCCGAACCCCTATCCACTTAGCACTATCGACCAAAGCGCACAATAAAAATGTTTATTGTGTGCAGTAAATTCAGTATTAAACGCCGCCCATTTGGCTTGTTTGTTTATTGAGTTGTGTCCCCACTTTTGAACCTATTTGGCTGGCTTTTTGCGCGTGTAGATACGTCGATAGATCACCCGCAACACCCCGCCTCCCGCCTGTAAAGGGCCGTAAAGTATGGTGTTAGAAGCTTGCTGGTTGTTATTTCCCGATTAAGCCCAGGCTGCCCTTCCATGTTTACAAGTTTGTGGAAGCTGCTTTGGTCCGGTAAATTTCCGCTGCGTCGTTCTGCCTCGGAAGCACTGACCTCGACCCCGCCCTCGCCCGCGCTGGCCAGCCGTTAGAAGAATGTGTGCAGCTTCGGACGATGATAGGCCGCCGTTCCATTCAGAAATACTCGAAACGATACGATACGCCAAGCAGACCAATAAATATCCCCCAGCATGCCGTAAATTCCGCAATCCATTCCCCGCCGCGATACCATTCCATGTTTGCCTTGCCTTGCCTGCTCTTTCTCTCTCTTCTTTCTCTTTTCCGCTTTATTGCAGCAGACCGGGAGTGTCTACTGGAGCAGCGGGCAAAGGGACACAGGCGACACCTGGTACCTGTTACCTGCCACCTGGCACCTAGCGATCACCTGGCAACTCTGGTCCGGTGGCAGAAACCCGGTCGCAGCACAGCGCCTGGCCAGACATCCGAAACTATCGATAGCCCTGTGTGCGCCCCGAGCGGCCGATTCCTCGTTATCAGCTGTTTTGTGCCGTTTCATGTTGGTTTTGTTCGCTTTTCGCTGGCGTGTTTTTATTTATTGTTTTTGAGTGTCAGTGGTTCCTCGTTCCTCGTTCTCTCTCGCTCTCCATTCGACTCACTCTCAGTCTCCATCCCACTCTCCGCTCTCGCTCTGGCTCCGAGCCCGTCGCCCACGCCGCACGCACGTTGTGTGTGGTGTGTTTGTGGTGTTCGCCTCGGTTTCACTTTCATTTGTCTCCGTTGGCCAGCGCTCGCCGCTCGCCCGATCGTCAAGTGCAAAGAAGTCAAATATTAGCCGTTCACCCACCCGTGTACCCCCACCCTCTCGTGTTTGTATCTACCTACCCAGAGGCTAGTCCAGGCGCAGATACAGACGCGGATTTAGATCGCTGGCAGTTGGTTTGTAGGTATTCCGCGTATCTTTCGGCCATAGAGGGCACAGAATCATACGCACATGCACACGCACGTATATAAGATACATCGCAGGTACATCCACATGCACATCTACATCTGCATCCTCATCCGCACACGAACCTCATCCAAGCAAAACTCATCCCAACAGTACATTTATGTGAAAATACTCGACTAATTTCATGTCTCGCTACGCCACACCACCAAACAGCATCCGCAACACCAGTCTCAGCCACACCAGGAGCAACAGCTCACCTCCAGCATCTGCAGAAGCAGCAGCAGCAACAGCAGCAACCAAAACAGCAGAAAACAAGCTCAGATCAAGTACTTTCAGCCAGCAGTAGCCGGACTACTATCAACAACAACAACCCCGACACCAGCAACAACAACTACAGCGGGAACGAAAAGGAAAAGGACGACGACCACGACCACGGCGAAGAAGACGGCGAGGACCAAGTAGGAACATTGCCATTGCCTTTGCCAGCTATCAACCGGCTCCTCCCCCGTCCAATCCGCTCCTCCTCCTCCTACCCGGACCTCTGCACCTGCTGCAACTGCGCCTACAACAGCTCCTCCTCCTCCGCATCCTCCTCCTCGTCCTCGTCCACATCCTCTGCATCCGCCGTCGCCGTTGCCGTTGCCAAGCAGCTAGCCCGCTCCGTGACCGCCACCAGCATCATGGACATGCCATACAACACCTCGCCGTCGCTACGCGTGCGCACCACCTCGCTGAACCAGCTGAAGAAGACCGCCGACCTGGCCATCGAAAACGAGCTGCACGTGTGCCCCTCGGTTATGTCCGAGGAACTGCGCAAGCTCCTGCCACCTACCTCGGAGACGGTGATGACTAAGCCGTTCCCCGTGCGCGGCGAGCGCACCATAGCCGACTGCACGACGCCGCACGTAATCGCGATGGTGGGACTGCCGGCGCGCGGCAAGACCTTCATCTCGAAGAAGCTGGCTCGCTACCTAAACTGGATCGGGATAGCGACGCGCGTCTTCAACCTGGGAGAGTACCGACGACACGCCACAACAGCGTACAAGTCGCACGAGTTCTTCCGCGCGGACAACGAGGAGGCGATGGCCATCCGAAACAGGTGCGCCAACCAGGCGCTGCACGACTCCTGCGAGTGGCTGCTCAGTGGCCAGGGCAGCATCGCCGTCTTCGACGCCACCAACTCGACCCGCGACCGGCGGCAGCTCATCTACGACATTGTGGTGAAGCAGCACGGCTTCCGGTTGTTCTTCGTCGAGTCCATTTGTGACGATCCGCAGATCATCGAGCAGAACATCCTGGAGGTGAAGGTCAGTTCGCCGGACTACCTGAACATGAACACGGAGCTGGTGGTGCGCGACTTCCTGCAGCGCATCGAACACTACGAGGAGCGCTATCAGCCCATTGACGAGGTAACCGAGTCGCACCTCAGTTTCATGAAGGTCTACAACGCCGGCAAGAAGGTGGTCGTCTACAACAACGAGGGGCACGTGGAGTCGCGAATCGTCTACTACTTGATGAACATCCATATAACGCCGCGCACCATTTACCTGACGCGCCACGGCGAGAGCGAGCACAACTTAAGTGGCCTGATCGGCGGCGACTCGAACTTGAGCGCCCGCGGGCACCAGTACGCCCGCGCCCTCTCCACGTTCATCTCCCAGCAGCACATCGACGGTCTGCGCGTCTGGACCTCATGGATGAAGCGCGCCATCCAGACGGTGGCCGACGTGAAGGCGCCGCAGGAGCGCTGGAAGGCCCTCAACGAGATCGACGCCGGCCACTGCGAGGAGATGACCTACGAGCAGATCAAGGAGCGCTTTCCGGAGGAGTTTAAGGCGCGTGACGTGAACAAGTTTGCGTACCGCTACCCGCGCGGCGAGAGCTACGAGGACCTAGTGGCTCGCCTGGAGCCGGTCATCATGGAGCTGGAGAGGCAGGGCAACGTGCTGGTCGTTTCGCACCAGGCCGTGCTGCGCTGCCTGTTCGCCTACTTCTTGGACAAGTCCGCCGACGAGCTGCCCTACCTGTACGTGCCCCTGCACACGGTCATCAAGCTGACGCCAGTGGCTTACGGCTGCAAGGTGGAGCACATCAAGCTGCCCATCGACGCCGTGGACACGCACCGCCCCAAGCCCAAGATCCCCGGCGACGTGAGCGAGCCGGGCCTCGACGGACTCAGCGGCGAGCTGGTGGCGCCCGATGGCGTCGGCAAGGTGCTCATCGTGGGTGACGACGTGGCGACGGTCACGAACGGCAACGGCGGGCGGGTCGACGCCCAGGCGCACCAATGACGGCGCCGCCTTCCCCCGACGTGCCCGCATCCGCATCCGCATCCTCCTTCGCACCCACCTCCGAAATCCAAGACACTTTAGGAACGGCAGCTGGAACTACCGGATACAGAACACCACCTTCCCGAACACAGATACCGAAACCTTCCCATCGCACCCTTACCCTTGAACCCCTCTGACCCGAACTCGGACCTTGACGTGCACGTGGACGTGGAGATGACTCTGTCTTTTATGTTTCGGACTGCTTACGAAATTGTGATTGACCCACTGAGCTGTTTACAACGTACTTTAATGAAAAGAAACACAAGATTTGATAACATTTACAAATTATAATCGATATAAAGATATGGACTCTGTATACTTAACCCTACACACCTATTTTATGCTTATTCTTGCGACGGCACGCTCTAGCTGCATTCGATGTGATTGAATTGCTCGCAGCTTTTACCCCAACGCGTAGACATACGTAAACCCTATATATATAGATATATACATGAATGTCGTGTACTGTACCACACCTTGGGCACCCTACCGAACAATGCTGTCCTGTCCCCCTGTTTCGATGTGTTTTTAGGCTAGTTTGGCGAACCTTGACCGTCAAACGAGAGGACTACTTGATTCCATTAGTCAACTATGTGGCTATATGTATGTGGCTCCCTTTGGGTCGTACTCGCGACGAATATTGTAATGACACTAATAATATCAACCTAATCTTATTCAAAACCAATAAATAATTGTTTACCAACACCAACTTCGACTCCACGTGTGTTTAATTCTCATTCAGAGGGGTTCTCGGCCAAAAAGGGGTTTGGATTGCAAAGTGGGCTTCAAAAGGGGTAACAATGAATGCACTAGTCACTCGTATATAAGGTATCGAGCATTCAGTTTCAATTTAGTGGTTGGGAAACTTGACGCCTTTGATTGTGCGGGATCTAGCAAGAAATTTAAAAAAATCGAAATATTTTTTAGTTTATATGATAATTATTCTGTGGGTCGGTTTCAGTCCATTTACTGTCTTAGTTTACAACCTAAAACGCTGAAACTGTCCAAAAGGACCAAAAATTTTTTTAATTTTGTTGGCTTTAGAGCGATAGATAAATTAACTTGTTTAATGAAAAGGTAGGCAGACATGAACGATTTAGGTCTTACCCAAAATAATTTCTCCAGCCTCAGTATGCGCTATATGTTAACTTATAGATATTAAACAAAAATGTTCCATGTGCGTTCGATTGTCAGTTAAGGCAGTCAATGTTTTAAAAATGTATTTAGTGAAGAGGAAAAAGCGTGGGAGTGCAGTTTACATTGGTTATCCAATTGCAGAAGCCTTTGATCGTAAGTAAATGGGTCCATTTTCGGAACAAAAGAGAACATGAGATCGTCTACACAAACTATCACTTGCAGAACCTACAGAAGATGACTTGGGTGGGATTTCTTTCATGGTGATTCAGAAACTGATCTCAAGACCGTACGTAGGAACCAGAACGTCTACGTCCTTGTAATGGGGGAACAGAAAAGATAAAGAAAGGAAAGCTAACTTCGGGCGGAGCCGAAGTGGATATATCCTTGCAGTTAAAACCGAATATGTATCGAAAAAATCGGATATAGTTTGCCGATCCTACAGCATGGCCGGGAATATCATAATATAACCAATCTATTAGAATATAAAATCTAAAAAAAAATGTCCAAGCTTCTATCTTAAAAAAAAACCAAAGTTGGTATTTTTCCAAATATCATTTTCGATCGTTTAGTTATCGTTCAGGCAGCTACAAGATATAATCGGACAATCCTTATGAAATGTTGTATGTAGTATTGCTTTGCCAAAAATAGCATTAATGCAAAATCCGAACTCTCTAACTCTAAAAACACCAATATATAGCATAGCATATATAGTTGTCGCACTTCCGATCAATCAGTTGTATGGCAACTACAGGATATAGTCGACCGATCCCGGTGGGTGCCAAGTTTCAAGTCGATAGCTTTAAAACTGAGAGACTAGTTCGCGTAGAAACAGACAGACGGACATGCTCTTCCACTTCCGAGTTGTCGCACTTCCGATCAATCAGTTGTATGGCAACTACAGGATATAGTCGACCGATCCCGGTGGGTGCCAAGTTTCAAGTCGATAGCTTTAAAACTGAGAGACTAGTTCGCGTAGAAACAGACAGACGGACATGCTCATATCAACTCAGGAGGTGATCCTGATCAAGAACATATATACTTTATAGGGTCGGAGATGAACCCTCTGCAAGGGTGTAATGATACACATTCTCACCTCATTCGGCTCATCTGATTTTAGTAACTGCAGTACAAGTCAGTTTAGTAAGAATCTTTTAAGTAGATTGTTACTTGAAAACTTTCTTTTATTGAGAACTTTAATACAAGACTCGGAAAGTGTTCTTTCAAAAATGGGGTATATTTGGGACAATGAGATGCAGCTCAGAACGGGGCTTACATTTTTCTCTTTTCTTTAGTGGGCGGGGAAGAAAATACACCATGCGAAGGTTCAAAGCCTAGATACACTCCAAAGTAGGGTTTTGAGGGTTTCCAGATGGTTGAAAAATATAATAGACTGCCATTTAATGAAAAATCTTCGTTTGGTGCATAAAATACTCTGTTAACCAAACAACCAAAGAAAGTAGTTTTTGAAAGACCGAAACGAAAAGACAACAACGGTTTTTCTCGGAGCGGACTAGTTATTGATTATTATTAGTTATTATTTAAGGAAGAGTTCCTTGAGACGCTGCTCAAGCTAATTTTTTTGACTAACCTAACTCCTGGGATGGTTAGTAATCTGGATCGAGCGCTGTCTTATTTCACTTCTTCATTTGCTTTTCAGTTGTCACAAGGTGTTCCGGGCTGTGCCCACACCCATGTCTGCTAGACGTCTGTCCACTAATCAGCGACCCAGCCGGAGCAACAGCACTTGATCAACAGTCCAAAAATGCCGCGCTTTCGCAACGAGGAAGCCGAGCAGGCGCAGTACACTGACGGCGACGTGGTCTGGGTCAAGATACATAACACGGAGATCTGGTGGCCCGGCGAAGTAACCTCGTCGCAGGACTTTCGGTTCGTCAACACCTCAAGGCCTCCCTTCGCCGTCGTGGCCTTCTTCAATGAGAAAACCTTGTAAGCCCATCCTCCAACATGGTGTAGACTCACTCTAGCTTTCCCCTCTGCTTACAGCGAGCAAGTGAAGTCAGCGAAGCTGATATATCCTTTCCAATGCACTCACAAGGAGGAGTTCATCAAGCGCGGCACCAGTGAGTATTTCGGCCTGTGTTCGCGATACTCTGATACGAGTAGCTTTAACAGAATGAGATGCCTTCTAGTCGGTACCATTAAATCCATTGAAGAGAATAGTTCGCGTAGAAACAGACAGATAGACGGACATGCTCATATCAACTCAGGAGGTGATCCAGATCAAGAATATATATACATACTTTATAGGGTCGCAGATGTCTGCTTCACTGCGTTTCACACTTTTGTCCAAAATTATAATACCCTCTGCAAGGGTATGATTAGATTAAAAGATGAATAGAATTTAAAGATAGCTATCGTAGTGAATATATGTACATATGTATTAATATTGTGCAAAATCAGTCTAGCCAGCGCGGACAAAATTTCTTATGTTTCAATTTCATCCCAAAATCAAAGTAACTGTATCTATTAAATTATATAGGCCAGAACTATACACAATATTTGTGTAAAGGAGCAAGATAAGGAGCAAGGAACTATGGGCATACAGAAAGCGGTTCAGAAGTACCCAAAATTGCAGTTCGATTCAAGAAGCATTTCAAACGATTTCCCATCTTTAAAAAAACCTTTGAATATAATACCTTGCACCCGGTCGCAAAACCAAGTTGCGATCGGAGCTAACGCCTTCTAAGTAGCAGAAAAATCGATAATCAGTCTTAAAAGAACATAGTAACTAAAAAAAATGTAATTTCGATGGTCCTGAGTCGCAACTTCAGCAATAAATATGAGTGGACATTCTCGTGAGGAACGCTAGCCATAATAGGCTAGGTCTATAATAGTTAGGCGAGGCTTTGAAGGTGTTTCCTTGATGGTGTGGTCCCAAGGGGCATAATCCCTTCGGATGAGGCCATTATGTAGACCATACGGACAGTGGGCTGATTGAATTTGTCAGCCACACTTGTGGCGATGACTGGACTTGTCGAAAAAAAGCATCAAACCATCGTATACCGAGAAACAATATTCCTGCTACATTCAGTATTTTATATCTTTATACATTCGTATTTGTATATTATATATTTGAATACCATTAAAGAGTTTGACAGGGCAGATGGTCGACTTGTTAAAAATATTAAATTTATTTCCTGTTGATATAGCTACTCTACATACAATTCAGTAGAAGGCCTCCTTAAGTCTGTTTTTAGTTTCCTAACGTAACATAATATAATAGTCAACCTTCTTACTCAGAAATACTTCAAAATGTAACAGACTATTTTGAAAAAATGCAATGCACTTTTGATTATTTGTGTGAGATAGGAATAGTCTTTCAGAACCAGCTTGCCTTTTCATCTTGTTTGCATTACTTGGGGTACGAGTTTTTTAGGTGGGTTATATTTGAAACCCCATAGAGTATAGCTTCAGCGTGTTAATCGCAGGTTTGCAGAGTTCAAAGAGTCAGGTTTGTTGGCAGGGATATTATAGAGTTTGTCGGCAAGTGCTTCAAACACGATGTATTTTAAAATTACTATCTCTGATAAACACTCTTTTAAAAACTGCAGAAAAAGCCGATGGACTCCACATTGGAGACAAGTTTAGCGACGACGTCGCTATCGCAGAGTCGCGATACCAGCGCCAGCTCCTGGGCGGCTCGCACTCGCATCCGGAGAGCGGCAGCGGGCCTGCCGCTCGGCCGGACAGCCTCATCAAGGCGCTCCTCTCCAGCAGCAGCAGCAACCAGAACAGCAGTACGCGCAGCTCCAGCGGAGCGCCCTCGCCTTTAAGCCGAGTAAGTAGCCAATAAACACTTCCCAAGCCGGATCCCAACTAGCTATAATCGTCTTCACCCACAGCAGGAGCCCACGTTCCGTATCATGGACATCGGCGGGACTCCAAGCCAGGCTCGCGAGCGACGCTGTGACGAGGCCAGCTACGAGTGCACCATCTGCAGCTTTCGTACAAACAGCATGAGCGTGCTGCTCATCCACCGGCGCGCCCACATGGACACCAGCAGCAACTACAGTAGCCACAGTACCAGCACCAGTACCAACACGAGCGTCAGCAGCTTTAATCCCAGCCGGCAGACTCGGGCCGCGCGACGGGCGAACACGACAAACGCGCTGGACCCCCGTCAGTTGACGGTCAGGAGTAGCCGGGACAGCACGCACTTTCACAAGAACTCGGTCCGCTGCCACTCGCGGCACGTCTCCATCGTGGTAGACGCCCCTCTGACGGACGAGGCCCAGCAGAAGGTGGCAAGTATCGTGAAGATGACAATGGCGTCCATCGAACGAGTGGTGCACCCCAGCGACACCAGCTCCACCGCCTCGAACTCCACGCGCAGTCGCAGCCGCAGTAACCGAAACAGCTGTTCCTTGTCGCCGAAAGTGCCTGCTACAGTGGCGCCGCGCCGCAGCTCGCTGAATCCCCGGGATCCGCGCAGCCAACGGGCCAACCAGCTGCGTGCCACAATGCCAGCGCCCCAGCCTCCGGCTAAGCAACGCCGCTTGACACGTTCCATGAGCCGCCGCCAACAAGCCATGTCGCCGCCAGCCAAGGCATTAGAGCTGCCGCCGCCCATGCCCGTGTCCACCCAGCGGCGCAGTGGAGGCCGGCGACGCACGCTGGCCACTGGTGTTAGTGAACGGTCCGCGCCGCCAGCTCGGCGGGGCAATCCCATGCGGAAAACAGTGACCGCGGCTCCCGCGCCGGTTCACGCCCCCACGGAACACCCACCTGAAAGCAGCAAACGACAGAAGCGAACGCACTCAAGACATCGAGCCTCGGTGTCACTAGCTTCCCAGTCAGTTTCTTCGGCACCACCAGTACCGCCTTCAGTGGGTGGGGAGGAAAAGTGCGGGGAGGAGTCGTCGACATTGCCCGTCGCCGTATTAGATCCAATATCCTCCTTGGAGCTTCAGCTGAGCCTGCTCGCTGAGTGGTGCGACGATGAGACAGAGGATCCTCCGGAGGAGCATCCCCCCCAACAGCTACCAACTGTGACCAACGGCAAAAAAATGGAAAAGCTCTCAAGGGAGCCAGATCGGACGACAGAAGAGGAGCAGGAAGGCGAAGAGCAGGAGCAGGCGTCCAAGAAGCGCATTCGCAACATACCAAAGAAGGATCGGCGCGACATGGTGGTGCAGGAGTTCGACACAGACGGCCAGCTAGAGACCTCAGACGAACCCATAGTCATTCAGGACAGCGACGCCAGTTCCAACGAGAGCGTCGTTTTCGTGGAGAACGAGCCGCGCCAACGGAAGAAGAGCGTGAATATGCATCCTGGTGCCAACCCCAGCGAAAAGGGCAAATCCTTGACTCTACCGAAGCAAGTATCGGCCAACATGTCCTCCTGTTTTGACTTTGAGGAGGAGGAGGAACTGCAGGACGGCCAAAACGGTCTCAGCTACAGGCACTGCGCCACTCGACTCGACGGCAAAGGGCAGTTAGAGCCTGAGGCGCCTGAAGCTACGAATGAAGAATCCGGGGCTGGAAAGGAAGCGTACGATGAACTTTTCAGAGGATTTGACGAGGGACATCAACCGGCAGCGAATGCATCGTTCGAGTCGGAACTGGAGGCGAAAGAGTCGAGTGCGTCCGAGGAGAGGATACTGGAGGCCCAGGAGACCAAGACTACTGAAGAGGTAGCGTCAGACGCCAACGTCGAAGTAGATCCGGAAGAAGAGGCTAAGCCGGACGAGGCCGACCCCGAGGCTGACGTTGATGCTGATGCTGAAGCTTGTGACCATCTAAACCTGCCTATCAAGGAGCGCCAGAAGCGCATCTTCAAGTCCCGCAACAAGTCAGTTCTGGTAGCAGCCTCCAGGGAGGAAGACCTGCCAGCTATTCTGGACAGGGTGGAGGAGGACCTGGCTAACGGCGGGGGACCGCCGACCCTCAACGGAGAAGAGGATCACAGTAGCAGAAGAGAGAGTAACAATAGTCATAGCAATGCCAACAGCAACACCAACACCACTGCGGACAGCAACAGCAACGCTAGTGGGCGTGTAAGCGGCAGCAAGAGGCACAGCAGGAGCAAGAGCGGTAGCAAGCGCCGGAAGAAATCCAAGACTGAATCCACCCGCCGGCAGACAAGGCGCACGAAGACCCAGACGCGGCTTCAAGACATAGCGCTGGAGGAACTGAGCAACAACAGCAACACCACTAGTAGCAACAGCAATGCGAGCTGCCACAGCAACCCGCTTTCGACGGCCAGTGCCCGCTCCAGTGCGCGGTCGCGGTCGCACGCCAGAGGAGCGATATCGCCCGGGCTTAGCTCAAGCACCAGCTGCTCCATTGCATCGAACATTGCGGTGATATCCGCGGAGGAGGCACGCGAGCTGCAGCGATCTGCCTCCGGGGCAGGGCTGGTGCATTCGTCTATCGTTGACGCCACGCAGCCTGTGCAGCGCGGAGGGGTGCTCATTCTGGAGGACATCCGGCTGCCAAATCTGTACGAGCCCTTCGCCGGCCTCCAGTCCTCCGACAGCAATGACAGCCGACAGCAAATCTTGCGCTCCAGACATGAGCACGAGGACCGTACGCCGGACTCGGTAGAAGTGTACCTGGATGTAGACGTGAACGCGGATATGGAGACGGAGGCTGTTGCGTATGTAGGTGCGGAGTCAGATACAGAGGTGGATGCGGAAACGCATATGTATGCGACCGAAGATCATGACACGGAGGAGGTGGCAACAGAGCATCACGAGCAGGAGTTCATGTCGGAGGCTGATGACCAGATAGCGGACTATGCGGCCGACGAGGGCTTGGAATCCGAGTCCGTGGGCCAGACAGCTCCGGATCTAGACTCCTGGCCACACGAAGAGGTCCAATATGTGCCTAAACACCGAGAAGTGCTCCTGAAGAAGCGGGAGCAAGAGCTACTGCGTCAGTACGAGGCCGATGTCGCGAGCGGGCGAAGCGCGGAGAAGTGCCGCAGAGCGCGAGAGCGATGGAGCCGGGCCGTGTACCCCATCGAAGAGGTGAAATCATCAGCATTAGAGTCACTAGAACTAGAGGAGGAGGAACCAGCCGAGTTGGAGGAAGCGGCCTCCGCTGCGAATCACAACATTGACACCATGGACTGGGAGAATTCTATGGCCAAGGAGCTGGCCGCCGTGGAAGCCGCGTTGCCCGCCATGCTAATGTCGCCTTCTCGCCGTCCTGCTAGTCACCCAGGGATTAACTTTCACAGTCCAGACCCAAGCTTCTCATTGGCCACCATCAGCCCCAGCAAATCCTCCGGGGACTTGGCCCATGTGCCGTGCGACGCCGTCTTCAAGGCTCACCAGCAATTGGAGAATCTGTGTGAGCAGCGGCGCCGTCGCTCCAGTGAAACCCTTGCGTCCGCGCTTTCGACTCCCTCCGTGCCTGCCTCTCCACTACCGCCTGCCACGGCCGGCGGAACGCGAAGACCGCGACGGCGCTCACGGACCGTGACCAGCAACGAGCATGTAGAGACTCCCGCTCGCAGCGATGCGACCGAGGAATCCCTCTGCGAGCAGAAAGATGGTTCGGAGAGTCTCGAAAACGTAAGTGGATTGTGGTTAAATGGGCATGAGTTGCCCTATAATCTCTTCAACGATTAAATAGAATGCCATCTAGAGCCCTCAATAATGAGCCCTTGGGGCCTCAATCCCTCAATAAGTAAAACGTATCCGGATTTCGAAAAACCCAAAACGCTTTAAGGGAAAATAGGCCTATACTTGCATGCTGGGGTTATTTTAACGCATCCATAGAATGGGAATGGGAATGGGAGTGGAACTTTTCTTACTTTGTGTGTCATATATTTTTTGTAAGACGGAAAAACTTATAGTTTTCTCCGTCAGGGGATCTAACTGGGGACACATGAGACATGAGTCTCCACCGAGTCACTCAACCTTTGCACAAAGTTCGCCATTGAATAGGGCCAATTCTTGTGTAAAGACTTCTGATCTCTGTTATTCTTTCTTGGTGAAAGAACTCCTATTTATCGGACGTTTAGAAAATGTCCTTTCAAAAATATCAATTTACAATTTTCATGGAGAAACACAAACAAATACGACAACGGCAGCCATTTTTCTCAATAACCTGAACTAAGGTGAATTGTGGGAGCATCATAACTCGATTCTGGATCATCAAAATTGAAAAATGGATACTGCGTCGGTAGACATATTTTCGAAATTGCAGCTTTTCAAGTTTAATAAGCACTTGAAAGTAGAATTCAAGATTTTTGGCAAAAACAGGTATATTTTTTTTTATTATTTATTTGTTTATTGTAGATAGTTTTTCAGCATTGCGGAAATGAAACTAGTATTTCATTTAAAAACTAATAAACAAGGTATGCGGTACTAGCTGCTGGGCTTTTGACTGCAATCTTCTTTCTAGAGATACAAATAACATAAAAAAATAAAAAAGTATAAAGTAAAAGGTTTTTAAAAAGTAACAAAAAAACCTAGCGGATGTCCCGTTTTGGAGCTATGCGATCAAAAAACAAGAGTTGTGGTATAAGCCCTTCATAGTTTTAAACCAGAGCTTGCAAATAAGTGTAGACTTAGAACACTTTACAGGATAACACTTTGAGGGGTTTTGTTCAGACCCGATGCTCAAAGTGAACATGATCCATTTTTTTCAGACGCTTTGAAATGATCAGTTCTTTTTAAGCTCTGTTTTGAAGCCTTTATAAACCGACCCAAACAAATAGCGATACCTCTACCTAATAACTTTACCTACCTAATAGCTCTGATCGGTTTAGAATTTTTATATAACATTCTAGGAACATGCATTCTTCAAGTGCATTGCATTGCAAATTCCTTCTAGTTTTTTACAAATGTTCATCAAAAATATTATTTATTCTCCGAAACTTTTCATCGAGAGAATATAATTTGTTCATCTATACCTAAACTTTCCTAGTAGCTAACCACTAGCCCTTACACTAGCTTCTTACAAACTTGCATCTATATCTGCCATTTTGCCTCTTTCAGCCCCCCCAGTTGTGCGCTGGCCGCATCTGCGCTGTGATGACTCGGCCCATCCCGGGCTACAACCACACGTTCATGCTCTGTTCACTGGCCAACAACAACTTCACGCCGCTCAACAACGTGGCCCTATACCTGGACAGCGAAAAGAACCATCTGGTGCCAGTGCCGCGGGAGGCGCTCCTGGAGCCTCCGCGCCTAGCCGACGGCCATCCCTTGTCGGCCGTGTTTGCAGACATCGATTTCCTGGGCGGCGAGGCGGTGGCCCAAGTAGTGGACCCGAACGACCCTCAGGCGGATGCAGGCCTTGCCCAAAGCGAAGTCAGGCTGTCGCCGCCGCAGATAGTGCTGAGCAACGCCGATGAGCTGCAGGGTGAGCCGACGGAGACATTGGGTATTATGACGCCGCTTAGCCAGGTGGCGGAGGGATGCACCGGGCCGGTCACCAGCTTCTCCAACGAAGAAGAGGAGCTGTTCGTAGACCAACTGCCAGACAATATGCTTCAGCTAAACGTCAACGGGCACCGGCTGGAGCTAGACCCCTCCGTGCTCGCCAGCATCGCGCAGCAGCCAGACACATGCATCGAATTGAGCGTGGTGGAAACGGGTCCTGACGGCAGTGGAACAATGGCCGTGCTGCACGCCCAGGACATTCTCGAAGCAGCGGAAGCGTACCTGCAGGAGCGCGACTTGCAACTAGTGAACTTGGAGGAACCAGCTCTGGGCCAGGGGACCGTTAGCTCCGAATCTGTCACTGCGTCGGCGCTGGTTGTTCATACACCCAACTTGCTTCCCGCATTGCTAGCCAGTGGCGAAGCGGTAGTGGAGGACTCTGTGGACGATTTTGTGGACGCAACCGACGCAGGCGTTGGACTACTTCACATCGACACTCGGGCATCTGGAGGATCTGGGCTGCTCGACGTCGGGGACGTCGTTGAAGAGTCAAATGGCATGGTGTTTATATCGCACGCTCTGCCGCCCCAAGCCACCCACTCCCATTTAACGCCGCCGATTACGGCGCGCACGAACGAGACGAACGCGTTGCTCGACCAGACGCCTATTATGTCCACTCTGGAGAACCCGAGCGGAGTCCAACTGCGGCGGGTATCGCCCCTGGTGGACGGCAACCTAGAGGATAGCCTGGCCGTCATTGGCGTGACGCACGGAAGCGGAGTGCCTACGTCGCTGGAACTCCCCATCACGGTGACCAACCCAGCAATCGCCCCGCGCATGGCAGCCGACATTGTGCATTTCGGACCCTTTCAGTAGGCGCGGTTCCATCAGTTCCGTCAAACTGTTGCACGATCTCAACATTCTTAGTTGAACGCATTGAAACTTCATGTGGTTAGGCACGACTTCTTCTTAAGTAGTCGCCATTCTTGCAAGTGGTTTCCCTTTTTCTCTGAAACTGAGTTACTTGACACATGGCGCTCTTTACCGCCAATAGTCCTTTTTTTTCATATTACCTTAATTTTGAACTTGTCTTTATAAGCGTATTATACACCGACCTCAATTTTTTTTTTACAAATAAGCTAGTTTGTCTAAAACGCGCAGGACATGTCGCATATATGCCTTAATCGGATCCTTTAAAAGGGAATATTTCGAATAATTTCTTAAGAATATCGTATTATTTAAAGAAAAGTTCGATTTTTGGAACATTATCTTCACACTACACAGAAATTGGTTTTCCAAAGATAATAATTGCAGAACTGTTTCACTTGCAGTAAACACCAAATCTATAATATAAAATAGGTTAGAATCGGGGACTGCAAGCATTGTTAATTTTATTTCTTATTAGACTTATATACAGTACAGTACTTATATATAAGTGTTTCTAATTTTTCTTTTTGAAGAAAATCTTGATTTTTTCTTTGTTTTGTTTGAGTTTGTTGAGTACCAGGAGTAACTTATGAAATAATCATTATTTATTGATTAAAACCAAGAAAGAGGTACCCTCGTAGTCTAATGACCTTTTCATTATAGGATACATATCCGACCGGTTTGAATCCCCAATATCGGGTATAGATGGGCGTTCCCTTTAAATTTAAAAAAGAGTTCCAAGCCTCCAAGACGGACGGCACAAGTTCTTAAAAAAAAGTCCTGGAAAGACAAATTATTTCTTATACGCAAGGTGTTGAATCATGAAACAGAAATATATAAAATATTATTATCAACCACTTATTCGGGAAGATATTTATATTCAATTTTTACTATTGCATTTATAGTAAATTTTGAAAAGGAAAGTCGTAAATCGCCACAAGTGCAAGTTCAGTTCGCTCGGATAGTTAGCTAGGAGAAAAGAAACACAAATGAACCTAGAAAGAGGATAGTAAAAATACCTTAAAAACCAGAACTAAACAGCTGCTAGTGTAGCCGTAGATCTCCAGCGGGGTTTGCCCCCTCTTCCCTAAAAAAAGAGATTTTTTTTAATTTTATTTTTGATCAATAAATAACATAGGCCGACAAAATGAAATTTGTTTGGCTCCCGCAAACCATAGGGACCACCCCCAGTTTCCGTGATGCATCTATGAAAAGAAATTGATGAAAATTTACAATACAAAATGTAAGACGAGCAATTGAATATTGGTATACCACAGTATCCCTGGAAAGTTCCATTTTTGACATCCACAAGTATCAAACGAAATGTACCTGTATCGAAAGTGTTCTCGACTCAGATTCAGGGAATAAGGTTTGGAGCAAGTAATATCATGAGTCGAAATTGTGTGCTGTCGGTCTGTGTTATCATTTCATAAGTTTTTTTAGTACTCGTCAAATAATAATTTTAGTTTATGAAAAAAGTAAAACTCATAAAATAATGATTACCACACGATGTACAACGATTATGATTGCAGTCCCTGGTAACAATTAAAGCAAGCTTCATGTTCTAAATTAATTAATATAAAGAACTAAAGAACCATCGCAGCCTAAATTTTGATAAAAATAGACGTATCAAGACAAGAGCAGCAGCTTCAAAGCCCAAAGATAGAAGTTTCGAGTCGCTAAACTGGAAGGTCGAAAAGAGTCGTGCTGTCGTGAAGGTGGCCCAGCAATGATTGCAGAATTTATTTTTGAGTAGTTGTACGGAGCCTATTGCTAGTTGAATTGATCTGAAGAGACGCTGATTGATCAGACGCGTCGCGAGCACTTGCTGCAGGTGCAAATTGAAATGCAGATGCTTAGTAGCCTAGTTTCCTAGCCCTAAGATAAACCTTAAACCACGCCGAGAGTGGGTTCCCTGCATTGCGAATGACAGTGGAATGCGAATCACCTAGCACGTAAGAGACTTCACAACTAGAGAATAGGTCCGAACAAGTAGATCAAACTGCGGAGCGTAACAGAGCAGACAGCTCTGAAATAAACAGAACTCAAGAGGGAGGAACATCGGTGGACCGATGCCTGGCACCAAAGCTACACTTACATATAGTCGAGCATTCAACACAGAAAATAGAACCTAGAAACTCTCTTGTGTGAAGAAAAACAAAGTTTACCTTAATTACCTTAATAATAAATACCTTATAAAAATGGCTATAACAATGTATGTGAGAGTTGTCAGTGTCTAAGCTAAATAAACTATGTAAAGTGAGCCGAAAAATGACGAAAATATAAATAAAGGCGACACGTGCAAATATGTACAAATATGCTATTACTACCCGTAATCTGAAGTTAAGGCTGTTTTTAAAGCGAACGTAAGTTATAATTAGCTTAAGCTAAGTGGGCTTCCACTTAAGGGGCAGTTTACATTTCATACCAAATCTGATATGTTTGACATATGTATGTAGGAATTTTTATCTTTAAAAGCACCAAAGTTGGGTCGTTTCCGAGCTTCAGTTGAGTTATGTGGGAGCTATGCGGTACAGTTGCCCATTCCCTATGAATATTGGTAGATTGGAACAGCTCTCCCAAAAATAATGTGTAGAGAAGAAAAAGATTCATTCCTACAAACATACATATGTATACCGATTCAAGATCTCAAATACATGAATACGTGTACTTTTAGGGTGATATATTTATTAAGTACCTTTATCATTTAATTACAAGGGTGTATAGGCAGAAACCCTATGTTAGCTTTACTATCTGTTTCTTTCTTGTAACTCCAAATTACGCACGCGGCTAGACTAGCGGTGTCACACTATGATTACTTGAGGAGCTGCGGGGATGTAGAGGAGGAGGAGACAGTCACACACCTCCAGTGCCACTGCCCTGCGCTTGGAGCATGCGACTCAAACTCCTGGGTGCAGAAACACTCACGGACCTAACTGACCTCACTGAGATCGCTCCACGTGGACTCGTTGCCATCATCCGGAATGCTGGATCGCGAGCCGCGTCGGGAAGGATAGTATTCCTTTGGGCACTTTAGTAGATAGGATGGGGTGGGGTCCCCTTGCGGGATAACAAGAGCCCCAGCGGCTCAAGTGGATTCGGGAGGTCAGTGACTGGCCTCCGCATCGCCGGCTCAACCTCACCTAACCTGCAACTCCAAACTAGGAATAATTAATATTTGTATTAATATAAGCCCGAAACTCTGATGATGTTTCATAATATGCTGTATACTTTTTAGTTGTTATACCCTTGCAGAGGGTAATGTAATTTTGTCCAAAAGTGTGCAACGCCGTGAAGGAGACATCTGCGACCCTATAAAGTATATATACTCATGATCAGGATCACCTCCTGAGTTGATATGAACCTGTCCGTCTGCCTGTCCTTCTGTCTGTTTCTACGCGAACTCGTCTCTCAGTTTTAAAGCTATTGACTTGAAACTTTACACACACACTTATTTTTTTTGCACGCGTATATAAGTCGGAAAGGCCGGGATTTGAAAAAATTTGATAAGGATCGGTTAACTCGGAAATGACCCAACTTTCGTGTTTTTGAAGATGGAAAGTTGAAAGTTTGTACAGATTATATTTTTGGTTAGTTGATCCGACCTACCAACCATTCATAACGATTGGCCGACTATACCCTATATCAATATAACTGAACGATCTGAAATGGTATTTGGTAATAATACCAACTTTGGTATTTTTTAAGATAGAAGCTTGGGATTTGTTTAGCTTTATTGTAATAAATTTGTTATATAATGATATATTCATAAGGATCGGCCAACTATATCCGATGTTTCCGGTTTTAGCTGCAGAGTATATCAACTTCGGCTCCGCCCGAAGTTAGCTTACCTTTCTTGTTTTTTTCACAATCATATATCATTGTTTTCACAATCATATACTACTTCATATATACTACATACTTCGTGCTATTTTTATTTTTAGTTTCCTTTATTGAGTTTTAACAATTGCATAATGCTTTTGCAATATATTTTACTTAATTATCAGTAACAATTGCTTTAAATTTCGTAGCTTTTGTGTTTTACTCCCTTGGTTTGAATAAGTTTCACTTGTTTATTGTATTTGTAAAATAAAATTATTGTAACCGTCCGCACTCAACTTTCAACTAGTCAGACCTCCATTTCAATCGTTTTACACCGAATTGAGAACAAATTGCCTTCTACAGGTGTTTCGGCACATGCAAGTGATTACATATTGTGGTTATTTAGGACTTTCATTCTTAACTCAAAAGGCTAACATCAATAAATAATACAAATTATTAGGTTCGTTTTAATTATATAAACAATAATAGCGCGAGGGGCTGATTGGATGGGTTCAAAAATACTTTACTAATGCAAGCAAAATTTAAAAATATAACTCTTGCGTTTTTGGCCTAAGAAAATTAAATAATATACATAAGTATTCGAACATAAAAATACTTTGGGTAGTTTCCATTTTAAACTTTTTGTCGGAAGAGGGAAATTTTGGCAAAATTTTAAGGGATTTAACGATAGAAACTGGCGGCAAGTCTTGTGAGTGTGGTTGCTGTTCTGGTTTCTGTTGTGGCTGCTACATATTTTTGGTTTGGGGCGAGTGTTCAGTGGTTGTTGTTCGTACTGCATCTTCCTCCCTCTGCACTTTTTTCTTAGTGGTTCCTCGGCTGTGATCTGCTCGGTTCAGTTGTTGTTGACGACGCTGGCTGCAGCTTGGTGCGTTGGCGGTCCGATGGAGGCGCCTACAGCTTGGCGCAGATCTCGTTCGTGAACTCGGAGCATTTGGCGCGGCCACCGAGATCTCCAGTGAGGTACTTGCCCTCCTTGATGGTTTCAAAGGCGGCCCGTTCAATCTTGTCAGCGTACGGGTTGAGCTCCATGTGGCGCAGCATCATCACCGCCGACAGCAGCAGGGCGGTGGGGTTGGCCAAATCCTTTCCGGCAATATCGGGAGCGGTGCCATGCACGGACTCGAAGAGTGCTCCGTTGAGACCCATGTTCCCGGAGGGCGTCAGGCCGAGACCGCCAACCAAACCGGCGCACATGTCGGACAGAATATCACCGTACAAATTTGGCATGACCTTAAATGGAACATATGTAGGATTAATCATGTACCTATGCCTGGTTTATCTTAATTGATTGATGAATCTACATCTAGAAAACCTTGAAGTTAATCACACTTACCAGCACGTCGTATTTGCCGGGGTTTTGCACCATGTTAAGGCAAACTGTGTCCAGATACCGCTCCTCAAACTGGATCTCAGGGAACTTCTGGGCCATATCACGGACACAACGTAGGAAGAGACCGTCGGACATTCGCCTAGTCAAGCAGGAAGAAGCATGGGTTAAATGGAGTTACGCGAAGATGGGAGCCTCACTTACATAATGTTCGCCTTGTGCACAACAGTCACCTTCTTGCGGTTGTTGTTTTTCGCGTACTGGAAGGCGTACTCGGCTACTCGCTTGGAAGCCTCCTCGGTAATAAGCTTTATGCTCTGGACAACGCCATCGACGATCTCGTGCTCGATACCGGAGTATTCACCCTCAGTGTTTTCACGGATGGTGACGACGTCCACGTCATCGTACAGCGTCTTGTAGCCCTCGAGGCTGCGGCAGGGACGTACGTTAGCGTAAAGGTTGAACTCCTTGCGCAGGGCCAGGTTCAGGGAGCGGTGACCCTTGCCGACTGGCGTCATGAGTGGGCCCTTCAGGCCGATCTTGTTCGTGTTGACGGAGTCAATGGCGGCTTGTGGAATGCCGAACTTGCCATCGGGACCCTATTCAAAACAAAGATTCGGAGTTTATTAGTTAGAGTATAGGGCTTATACTTTAATCATGTTTTATCTCCGTTAAATTTACCCATGTGTGCTAAAGGAAAAAGAACTTATCCTGAACTTCGGACAATAGCTTTCAGCTACCTTAAGAATGTTATATTTTACAGTGGCAGTTTAACTATTAAGTTGTCGAATAACAAGTAACTTAAGGCTTTAATTTAGTTTGAAGTTTCCATGTTAAATAACTACTGATCTAATCACTGTTTTTCGCTATCTCTGGCTGACTAATTTCTTTCGAGTCTTCTTTACATAATGTTTTTAATCAGAGGTTGGCGACTTTAATTGTCCCTGGACCCCTTTGGAAGAGTTGCTGGTTGCGGTGGACACCCTAACAGGGTTTCCGAACAAATCCGGGATAAAAAGGCAAAACTAAAACTACTACCATAATTTGATGGCTCCATATCTATGAACGTGCACACCTAGTGTCGACCTGGACCACTTTGGAAATGATTTATATATTTTCATTTTTTTAATTTTTGCCCGCCCAATATGTGAACCTATTGTTTAGAGTTGCCACCTCTCTAGAGAAAAATGTTTAAATTTAATATCAGACAAAAGTCTGGAAAATTCCCAAAAGGACTTACCCGAACGGGTGTAACGTCGACGGCCTCCCACTCGATGGGCACATTGGCAGCCGTGAAGATCTTCTGGACAGCCGCGGAGATCTCAGGTCCGATGCCATCGCCAGGAATCAACGTGACCTTCTTGGTCCCGGAGGAGTAGCCACGGCTGGCAGCGGGGGTTGTGTTGACCTGCAATTATTGAATGGAACAGGGTGTGTAAAATTCAGTAAGCTTTCACGGGTGGTTCTGGAATACTTCGCGGGGCAACAAACAACAAACAAACACACATCTCTACAGCTCTACATATACGGGCAGCGTCGCGCCGTATGCCCAGCATTACATAAGCCGTCGTGCAAAACAACAACAGCATTGGCAGTCGCAGCTGTTGCAGCCCGTCCCGCGCATCTAGCTCTGCCTCCTCATCTACCGCTAATGTTGAGGTTAGATCGCAGCTGGCCTTCCGGATTGATAAGGCCAGCTTTGAGTGGCAATCGCCGAAATCTGATCTTCGTAAGTGGACGACGGTGGGTTGGTGGCGCCCGGGGCACCTACCACCCCCTTCGCACGCGACACTAGTTATCGGTATCGACCACGCAACGAGAGAGCGAGAGCGAGACCGAGGGAGAACAGTGTGTGTTATGTAAAGGGAGCGCTTTTCATGCGCTTTTTCACAGGACGGATAAGGGATCCTGGCAGATTGCGGGCAGAGCAGATCCGGTTGCGGCTCCTGCTACGGCCACGGCTGCTTGTCTTCTCTGGAGAAAGGAGAACGAACCTGGGCTTGGAGTGTCGAAGACGCTCCTGTCGCATCACGCGCAGCGGTCAGACCCAATTGATTAAGCTGCAAGTGTTTTGCGTAATGTGTTGTTGTCGGTGGTTTGTTTTTGTTGGAGGAGGGTCGACGAATTCATAATTTTGGCAAGGACCGTTCATACGAAAAACAAAATCGCAATGTTAGTGGAGTTCGCTATTATTTTTAGCCAACGACCAGCACGTAATCAGCTGCTGTCCTGGCCGTACAAGAGGTTCTCGGTTACGGGGATAAATGGCAAGCGCTGGACGCTTAAATCTACACACTTCCTTACAATTTTCTGTATGAATCTAGCAGCCATTGCGTTGTCTTTAGGACTCGGTTTGCACTTGCTATAGCTTAGCTCTGAGTATAGAAAAAAGTCGGTCGTTAACTCTGCGCCACCTTGCGGAAAACTGCGGAGCCCGCTGTTTTTCGATACTCCGATAGCTCGGGGACCATCGCGGTGCTGCCAGCTTGTTGAATTGTATAAGATCACAAATTATTAAAAGCCAATACTTAGGCATATAGGCGTTTCAACTTTTGGAAATACATATTCTTCCATTTTTTTTTTAAATAACTGCAAATTTCACATTTCTGCCGCTGTCGGCAAGGCTATGGGCATTGGGATGTGGCAAGGCTATGGACCCACACGAGTGGCAACAATGTCAGCGCCACTTGAATATCAATGACTGTTTATCGATAGTTTCAATGTATCCCTTGCAACCGTGGCTTCCACAGCCAGTTTAAATTAATTTTAAACATTCGTGAAAATATCTGTCATTGCTGCGGTAAAGTCAGCAATTTAAGCGAATTAGTAAAGCCATTTAGGTGTTTTCGTTTGTGCATGCTAAAGACAGATTAAGTAAAACCCGCCGAAGTCATTTGGCTGGATAAAAAAATCTGTTCAACCGACAGACAAAGCTACGCTACGGTCGTCAGCGGCAAAGTGCGCTGTGCCGACCGACTGAGAATCATCGTACGCGAGCGAGTTTTTTCGCGTTTCAGTTTGGGTTTCATTTACCTGCGCGCAACACCCCGTCGCTAACGCGGAACAGTGCTTTGCGTCCTGTGCCTTGCGTCTAGGGAAAGTGTCCACCGGAGGGACTGCAAGCGGGCCGGGAGCCTTGTAATCGACGCCTGGCGAACGTGAAACTACGTAAGCGAAGGCGAAAGCGGCCCTTTTCTCTCAAGAGGCAGTGAACGCGCTTTTTTAATCCGGTTCCGCGGCTCTCCGCCCGAGTGTTCGCCTGCCTCCGGGCCAGATAGTCAGGTAATTAAAGGGTCACCTCCACAGCACTTCCTTTCAGTGAATCCAGGCCATCCTTGGGCATCTCAGCTGGCTTGGCCATCCAACGCACTCACACAGCCGTGCTCTCACGAACGCCGCGTACCCGCACACACGCACCCTTTTTCACACATACATAGCTAAAACACATCGGTATCTGTTTGTCAGCGCACGGCTACGGTCGTTGCGGGCCGAGTGCCGCTGGCAGGCGCACACTCGCCAAACGCGCTGCGAGCGAGTCGTTTGATTTCCACTTGGTGTACTTTTCGCTGTTGTAATCGAGATCCTTCTTTTCGCAGTGCTCCTATTCAGATCCGTAGGCCGCGGCAACAGTCAGCACCCTGGAGAAACAAAACAAGCGGGCCCAGCTCATACGGGACAAGATGGTGCTGGCCGAACGCAACACCACGGACGTGGTGCGGAACGGACGACGCTCGCGCGGCCCCAGCCCAAACACTCACACCACCGCCGTGGGTGGCGTGGCCAACAGCACCAGCCTTTCCAGCGGCGGTGGTGGACCGGGCGGTGGCAACTCGGCAAATGCGGCAGCCATTGATAAGGCCGCCACGGCCGTGCCTGGGGCGGGAACGCCGGAGAGCTCTGACGATGATAACTGTAAGCGCCTTTGAATGGATCCAATCACAAGGATAACTTCATCCAATTTTTTTTTTTAATTCACAGCCACAAAGCGGAATGGCAAGTCGAAGGCAAAGCAGTCGGAGTATGAAGGCAAGTGATTTAAAGTAGGGAAAATATGATCATTTTCTATTTTGTGCTCCTTTTTATAGAAAAGATTCGTGTCGGCCGCGATTATCAGGCAGTGTGCCCGCCCCTTGTTCCCGAGGTGGAGCGTCGCCCGGAGCTGATGAATGAGCGTGCCCTCTTGGTTTGGTCGCCCACAAAGGAGATCCCGGACTTAAAACGTACGACTCTATTCTGCTTACAGTGACGCCTATGTCACCTGAGAGCTATTTAACTGACGAGAATCTACTAAAATATATTTATTTATGAAAACAGTGGAGGAATACATCTCAGTGGCTAAGGAAAAGTACGGATACAACGGCGAACAAGCCCTGGGCATGCTCTTTTGGCATAAACACGATCTGGAACGAGCAGTGATGGATCTGGCCAACTTCACGCCCTTCCCTGACGAGTGGACCATTGAGGACAAGGTTCTGTTTGAGCAGGCTTTCCAGTTTCACGGGAAGAGCTTCCACCGCATCCGCCAGATGGTGAGTTAATGCTTAGAGGTGAACGTCGTTTAGGCGTCTTAATAACACCCACAATCTCTGTTGTTTGCAGCTCCCAGACAAGTCGATTGCCAGTCTTGTGAAATACTACTATTCGTGGAAGAAGACGCGCCATCGTAGTAGCGCCATGGATCGGCAGGAAAAGACTATCAAGGCGGCCGTCAAGGACGGCTCGGAAAATGGGAGCGAGGTGGGGAGTAATGAAGAGTCGGACAATGATGATAAGGTAATTATCTGTTAAATAGCTAAGCGAACAACTAAGATCCTTCCCCGCTTCCACATGCACTAAACTCAAACACACACATCCATCTAAGCTTCACTTACTCATTGACACACTTCACCCACACTCAACCCCATGAAAAAGCCCGCACCACCTGCCTCTATCCGATAGGGCCACAGGAAGCTCAGTTCTCAAATATTGTCGGCTAACTGCTAAGTCGGGCGAATCAAATACCTCAATATGATCGATTTCAGAAGGCAAGCATCAGAGACACAACTTAACTTTATTGCCGAGCTGCATCGTTGTAAACTACTCCACTCCAGGATGTGGATGCCAATCTACCGATAAGTTAGTGCTAGTAGTAGTCGACTTCAATGCATATTCAGTGTAGATAAGTGGCCATTGTATTGAAGAATGCATTATTTAAAAACAAAGTTCTTGTGAACAGACAATACAGAAAACTATATAAACACGCGTTCAAATGACTTTTGTGTCATTAGAAATATTCAATAGATTATTTTCACAATCAACGCATAAACAAGTTTGTTTGTACAAACGTAGGTTTTTAGTCTCCAAAAGTGATTTTAATGCAATGAAATATTGACTTGTTTGTTCATCCTGCATCTCATTTTTTTCTAACGATTCCAAAATCGAACATTTTGGGCGTGTTTGTCTCTTTAATTTGTACATAGGGTGCATGTAAGCCTGTGATACGAGGTAGGAGTTAGACATTTTGTGTGGACGTCTCACAATCGATCTCACACAAGGCTACCACAATGTTGTAGGACAATTTGTAGTTCAGTTCTCGAACGAATGTGTCACTCCTCCTCCGTAATACAAAGACAAAAAGTACACCTAATTAGGACAGAGTCCCGCGGGATCCTCGTTTAGCCCAGCCAGCGATATATGCCGTTTCAAAGTCTGGTTCGTTATTTTTCAGATGATCGCCGTGCCTGCATACATCTCATAAAGATTTAACTCAGTACCCACACACACACGAACGAATAGCAATGCCAAAAAGATAAATTGACCAGCATCTATAAGACTAATACGCGTAAATAATAGAAGACTCTCGTGTTCACACAGGGAGCAGGGAGACAGAGTTCAGAGATCAGAGATTGAACCACACACAGTAACTGAAAGGTTGACGCGATTGATTGATTGACTTGCTTGTGGAGTTTCGATATCATTCGCGCTAACAAGAAACAAAACCAGCTTGAAACTAGACTAAGGCAGAGCAACAAAACGATTTGTTCTTTGTTCACACGCACCCACTATATAAAATAGTATATAAAATTTTAAACTTTTTTTTAAATAATTATATAAATAGATTGGTAAATAATTATACATAAACTAGTAATTTATACATATACTTTAAAGATTGATACTTTAATGCATTTAAATATTAAAGAGAACAAATTCGAACCATGTAGAGTTACGAAGATTTGTATGCAACCAGAGAGTTGGGCGAGAAAACCACGGTTACCCACACAATCAACAGACGATAATAATGATGGATCACCACACCTAAGTTAAAACTAATAAACTCATATCTTGTTTGCGAGAAGATTAAACAGAAATCCAAAAACAATTTGTATGTGTTTCTTATTGACTGAAATTCGATTCGCTTCTCCGATTGTATCTTTCGTTTAAGTTCGATGTCCTAATCCCACACATAAAAACACCACACCATCACTTATCACCCGCACCCACATCAAATAACACAAACATAGTACACTCATAGTTCACGGTCCTGCCAGCAGCTGTCACAGCAACTGATCTGCGCCCAGTCCCCGATGCCTCCTGGAGCATTGAGCGAACCACGTAGTCTCTTTTGTTGATTGCAGCTTTGCTGCCATCTTTTGTAAATCTTGCCCTGTAACCTATGTCCCAACCGGAACCCCTACTACATTTAGGTATAACCGATCACGGTTAGCCTTTCCATATCAACCACACTCGCAATCCCTTCCGCATCCACCAAAGAGAGAGAGACAGAGAGACGGGATATCTGAAGGGATCTTATGAGCGACAGTTACTTGCGGTAGTGGTGGGCTGTTGGCTAAGTGTCTTCTTGTCTTGTGGGGGCCGCCTGGGTAGTCTTCGACCACACGCCGGGTGTTCATTTGTACCCCTGTTACGAGACCCTTTTTTGGTAATTTTTTAATTGTTTTTTGGAAAGGATCGGAGTGATGTTCGGAAGTGCAACTGCGATTTGGTCGGGGCTCGAGTCTGGGTTTGGGCTTTGGGTTTTAGGGCTTAGGAGAACCTTGAACTTCGTTCCAAATCCTTCGTAATTGATAGGCCAGCAACCTACCAACCAAGCCTACTACTACAAACAACCCAAATACAACCATGTACTTGATAAGTGTTACCAACTGAACTAAAGCAACAAACAAATTCGTTTTTTCTCTTCTCTTTGCATTTACTGTCAAAATATCCAACACCCAAACACGCAATTAATCAATCCTGACTCGAAACTGTCCTAAACGAAATCAAAAACCAAACCCCAAACGAAACCAAAAACCAAAAACCAAAAACCGAAAACCGATCCGACCGAACAATTTGAATGTTTCACTCGCAAATTCGATATTGAATTCGTCGATATTGAACAATCGCTGCATCGGTGCAACTACAACTTTGAATCCTTCTGCGGATGAAAATTCTTGGTGGGCAGAAGGGTCTCAGCTATGCCGTCGTCAGTACCGCCGGCTCCAACAATAGCACCAACAGCAACGCCGCCAATAATAATAGCAACATTAACAACAACGCCAACAACAACAACAATAACAACAACAACAGCAGCAACAATAATAACAACAACAACAGTAACAACAACAGCAGCAGCAGCAGCAACAACAACATCATCATCAGTAACAACAGCAACACCGACATGGAGCCGGATCAGCTGTGCATCTTCTCGACCAGCACCCAGGGCGACGAGGTTCTAGGCTTTGGCCTCTCCTCCGAAGGCGCCACAACCAACGGCAACGCCAACGCCAGCGGAAACAGTGGCGGCGAGGTCGGCGGCGATCCGAATTCGCCCCGTCGAGTTGTCGTGGGCGGGTTTTGCAAGACTTGCAACGTCGTGTGTCACGTTCTGTTCGATTCACCGCTGGGGCGCATGTGCAAGAGTTGCCACACGCACTGGAGGTAGATATCCTTGGAAAGATGCCTCAAAAATTTAGCTAATTTCATTTTTGTTTTTATCTCTCTTTCCCCCTTCTATCTCCGTCTTGACGTCTTGTGGTCGTCCATTCCATTCCAACCCAAATCCTCATACTTACTTTAACAAACACACGCACACACTGTCATACCTACATTGTCATATGTACATTGTGGGCATCTGTGCCGGCCCGTTAGGCGAACGGGCAATAGACGCCCCATATCCGGGCCGGAGAGCAATACTCCTCGACGTTCTACTCACAACAGCGCAGCGGCTGCCGACCGCTCCAAGCGCAAGCCGCCGAAGGGAATGTACATCAACCACGACGATCTCACCGCTCTTGCGAGCTGCAGGAACCCAAGCGTATATCTAGCCGAACGCGACCGGAAAATCAGCGCCCTCATGGCAGAAGTAAGATACGAATTCGTATAGTCATTCCCTATGTCCTGTTTTCAGAAAAGGCGGTTTTGAGCTAGAAGTTGTGAAAATGTATTGCTATCATTGACCAACTACAACCCATTTGAAAGGGTACATTACCTACGTTAATCTAACTTCTTTCACTAACCACTAAAAGCGTGATCTGTGAGAAATTCCACTGCATTTTCCATCCACCCCTTCAACTCATCCCCCATACCTACACCTGCACAATAAACAAGACTCGATTTTTTACCATCTGGACCAACTGAAAACTTTCAACTGAATGCTCCCTGCGTCCTGACCCATTCCAGATACAGAAAAACCGGCAGCTAATGGAGCAGTTAGATAAGGAGTGCGACACCATCAATGTCGATGATGTTGTCTCCAAGCCGACCGCCCCCAACGCAGAGACGGCCACAGCACAGCCCCGCATCTCCAGCCGCTGGTCGCCAGATGAGATCCAGGTGGCTCTTTTGGCATTTCGCGAGTACGGCAAGAACTATCCTGTAAGTATTCACGCTGGTATTCATTCCGCAATGATGGGTTGTGTAAACTACTTTTTTTCGCAGATGATTGCCAAGTTGGTTGCTACCAAGACAGAGGCACATGTGCGCACTTTTTACTTGAACAATCGTCGCCGTCACAATCTCGATCAGATCGTGAAAGAGTACGAGGCTGGTAAGTCCGAGGATTCTGGAGCAGAGGAACAGGCTGAACCGGGAGTCGATGGAGCAGCTGCAGTGGCCATGGGAGCAGCAACCGCGGTACCCGGTGCCGTTGATTCAACTCCAGCAGCTACGAAGCCGTCCGCCGATGCCAGCAACAACGGGGGCGAATCAACCCAGGAGCCGCTGGCCAAGAAGGAGGATAAAAAGAAGTCAGAGCTGGTGACTGGTACTCCTAAACCCAGCGGAGGTGAAGAAGCAGCTGGCACTGAAAGCCCCGCCTCCGCTCTGGCTGGCAGTTCTATTACTGTTGCAGCCTCGGCCACAGATGCCGCCGGGCTCAAGTCGAGCACTGCCACGATTACCATCACCGACGAATCCGACACTGCCACTAATTCCAGCAGCGAAGTGATTGCCAGTGGCTCTACTGGAGCCGCCGCCAGCAGCGCTATTACTGCGTCCGCAACCAAGCAGCAAGCCGTGGCCAGCAGCGATGAGTCGTCCGCCCCCAAGTCCATATCCACGGGCGGTACAACTGGAGCAGGCTCAGCGTCGAGTCCTCCTACCAACCTCAACAACAAGCGAGAGAGTGCCCCCATGGTAAGTGACACGTCCAGTCGAATACGATGAACACTATCTAATTTTACTATCTTTTCCTTTTTTTTTTTTTTTCAAGAACGTGGCTGACCAGCCGCCGGCCAAAAAGATCGGGCTAAGTCCCGCCGTGGAGTTCGCCGGAAAGTAAGGACACACAGCGGCACTGGGGATGTGTGACGCGCGATATATATGCACACATTAATATATACCGATAAGCATTGCTAATAGTTGGGTAGCGGCCACGAAGACGAAGTGCTCAGCTAGCTGGGCGGATTCCTTTTTTTCTGACCTATTGAATCGGCTAAGTTAAAATTTTTCTTTGTCTTCAGTACTTGGGACGCATTTATTATACACTAAAAAAGCATCACGGTTTGATCTAGATTTAAATATGTTAGTTTATTTTTTGATACCGGTAAAAGTGAGTCTATCTGATGAGTTGCAAAACGCTTCGACCAATGGATCTTTTAGGAAACTGTGGCTGCACACTTTCCTGTCCCGATGGCCCAATGGCGGGCCTACGAAGACCACACACAAACCTAATGAGTAGAATATGCAACAGTGGAAGAGTTACTACAAACGGATGTAGTATTAAAATAATTTTAATAACGAATTATAAGCGTGTAAATTATAAACCTTTTTTTGTGAACTGTAACTTAGCGTATAGAATACTATCTAGGGCAGGCCTTGAAATGCAACACCCATCATTTCATAGAGCGGCCAGCCACATGAAAAATAGCAGCACGCGATGGAAAGTTGCGCACTCCTGTTCGGAACACTACGCACTGTAACCTATCTGTGGCAGAACTGCGAGCTCGTTGTGGCCTGCCACCCCCGTAAGAGAAATTATTAAATAATTTAGCGTGAAGTCCGCGTTGCTACATATTAAGTTATGGGAATAAACTTTATGTCTGGGTTTTTAAGAAGGCACTTTTTTTTTTTTAATATTTTGATTTTTATCTAATGTATTTGACTTTCTGCACGACATATTAAGTTCTGAATATTTGTATACCAAAGTTGAACACAAACTTGAAAACTTTACGACTTTGGGCAGGTTTGCATGTTCCCGCGCCTTAACCTAACTATATTCTCTTATTTTATGAGCGTAAAATACATAGATAATGTAAAAAATTCAATAAAATGTGTATTATTTCAAATAAATCCAGAAATGGCGTTTTTCTATTTCAGATGGGCTGACTAAAAAGTGCGTGAGGATAGATAGGGATCTCCAAACTCACTACATATGTACAGTTGGCAACAAAATAATAGCACATTTGATTTGGACAAAAGGGCACAAATGTAGTTTCATTTTAAAAATATTGAATAAAATAAATTTAAATAAGAATAACCATTTAATAATTTAATAAGAATAAAAGCGCTCCCGAATTAGTAAAAAAATTTTCTAGTTGACATGATTCAGAGTTCTGCAGCTAACTTAAAGAAAATAGGAATATTGATTCCTAATCTTAATGATAAATTCAGATTTCATAAGACAAATTTTAGTTATTGTTAGTTTGTGCGATATCGAGATATTTAAGGAATAGTCGTGCCAAATTTGGCGGTTTAAAACTTGAGGTATCATGTCAACCGTTAAAAAAAAAATGGTTTGGGAAAAAGGCGTTCCAAGTTTTAGTCATCCGCGTATCCGGTCTACTGCCACGAAACTAATAAGGCCTTAACTTCGAAAATGCCTCTAAAATTATGAAATAAAATTTTACGATTTTATAAAATTTATTTACTTGAAGACCCCTTCAAAGCAACGAATAAAAGCTCCAATCCAATTTTTTTATCGAATCATTGAATTTGCCTTGATAGAATTTAAATAGATTTTAGCGTATCTTTAACATATCGGTATAATAAAATTAATTAATAACGTTAAAATTTGACAAGGAAAACGTGGAAACGTATAGTAATATTCAGGCAGGCTCCGGTGCTTACCTTTACGAAGTGAATTTTAATAGACAAAATTCAGAGTGAATTCAGTAGAGTTTCAAACCATTTTGACAAATTTACAAAATTTCCCCTTCAGGAATTTCAGGAACGCGTTCCTGAGAAACGAAAGACTTTTGAGACACTGTAGCCTACTTGCTAGAATTTTAGCTAGAGACCTACCTTTTAGACGCCTTAAACGGCAAGGCTTTGCCGAAACAATTAGGAGCCAATAAGCCTCCCATCCCCATAATCCTCATATTTGTATTGAGGCTTGGTTCATTTTTTTCACTTTCTATCCATGTGTGTTCATGTACATTTTATGCTGTACGGATTCTTCACTTAATAAATAACAAATAAATAAAAAAGAAGAGGTCCTAATTGACTACCTTGTGGGACACCAGATGAAACGTTTATAATCTGTGATGTAATGTTTTTAAACAAAACATTCTGTGTGCGGTTGGATAGATAGGAGGTCAACCACTGTACGATTTTTGAAGAAAACCCCATAACATACAGCTTATGAAGGAGGAGATGATGGTTCACAGAGTCGAACGCTTCGCTAAAATCAGAGTATACTATATCAGTTTGTATGCGGCTCAGAAAACCTCTGTGAATGATCGAAGTGAATTCACGAAGGTTAGTTGTGGTAGAGCGATGCTTGACAAAACCATGCTGTGAAGTGAAAATAATGCTGTTACAAAAATGTTGCAGTTGGGAAGTAACCAGTTTCTCTAGCAGTTTGGGAATCGCAGCTTAGCAATTCTGCGGTAGTTCTCAATAAGTGAATGAAATAAATGATTCATTCAATCGCTTGGGAAGACATGCAAGCTCCAAGGATAAATTGAATAAATGCGTAGAAGATAAGTGTCAAAAAATTGTGTGTACCTATGCCACAGGGATCCTAAGTCTAAAAGAAATGCTTGGAGGAAATCTTATCAGGAACATCAACGACATGACAAAGGAAACCGACCAGGAGGAACGGATCGGGCAATCAGAGGGCGAAAACATCGTCCTAATCAACGCTCGAAACACTAGAATAATTTCTTCGTGTGGTGAAATATTCAACTTCACCGGTACAGGCCTATTAGAAATAAAAAACTGTCCCACTACTATCAACGTTATTATGTACAGAGGAAGTATTGGTGAATTCAACGAACTCCTGAACGTAACAGTTGCCAAGTGCCAAAACCACCAAACCTTAAGGAACTATACCTTTAGAAAAAAGAAAATAACGAGATCAGCGAAACAGCGATCGAAGACCACCTTTACATACTCTTGGTAAGGAATAGTCACAATGGCAATAATCTCAATCCCGATCAGGAGAAGAAGACAACCAACAACATTTTTTTCCCCGGAAACAACCCTGTAATTCGTGTCGACCATATCTTCACTCAGGTATGGTCTCAACGTCAGTTCACTCTAGGAGGGGAAGAGTTACCGACGACGTCACTAGCCATTAAAGTCACGGTCACCTATTGCCACTTCACATCGTGTCTACACCTCGATGACACCCAATACGGTCAGCGCCCGGCCGTATGCTGACTAGGAGGATCATCCCAAGCACAAGCATCCGGCCCATTGCTGAGCTAGGCACTTTTGCAACCTATACACTGTACGGGCGTTATCTTTATGATTTATCGCTCCATCTTCAGCGAGCTTAGAATCCACCCAGATTTCGCCCTGTAATCTTTGCAAAGCTTTCCTTGTCTTGTCTCTCCCCTAGTAAAAATTATTATTATTGTTTTAAGAAGAGTCGTAGAGCAAGCAAGGCGGTCGAAGTAGTGGAGAAGGTCAGAGAAAAACCACGCGGGATTAAAAGCTGACCCATTAAATATAATTGTAAATTAACCAACATAAATTAAGCAAGTAAATAAAATGAAGTTCAATGCATAACTGTGTCTAGTCGTTTGGATTCAAAACCCCCGAGCAGAACTGTGCTCAACTATGACATTACGCCCATGAACGGCATTTGTCACAACATTTTTGGTGGCCCATGAGGGGAACAATCCACACACGACTCCACAATCCATGTTCATCTCCAACATTTCCATCAAAATCGTTAATGGAAACCTAATCTCAACACGGAACCATTATTCTTCTTTTCAACTCCTTCATTCTCTTTGACAAAGAGGAAGCGCAAATAACGGAATCAAACTTTGCATCGCACGTGTCGCGCGAACGCTTGCCCATTGTCGCTCTCTCACTTTGGAAGATACGTACGTAAGTGTGAGTGCATACGCAAAATGAGCAAGTTCAAGCCAGCGAGCACTTCCAGTGCAGAGTCTGAAACAATGACAAAGGGTGGCAACGCCGACAGCTTGTTTGCACTCCAGAAAGATCTTCACAATCAGCTCAACCAACTCCAAGTAAACTTCAAGAAGGACAGCACGTCTCGGAAAAATTAGCCCTATTTCCAACTGCGTCTGTCCAAACTCAACTTAATAAGCCAGCAAGAGTTTGTAAGCGCTGGCTACCCCACACACCCTTACTTCGTCGATAAATTAGCAGACCAGTTCGAAGAGGAATTTATCACAGCGTTCTGTTTAATATCTACGGAGTCCGAAACACTTTTCCCCAGTCAGCTACCAGCGTGCGCCGAGCAACAAGCGACGCCTGTTTCTAAAAATGCCAGAACCTAACTTTTCCGGAAGGTATATAGATTGGCCAGCTTTCCATGTGCTGTTTATGCAACTTATTTACCAGAACCAGGCGTTGTCAAATATTCAGCGATTCCATTTCCTCAAGCAAGCACTGCCTAAAGAGCAGGACCAAGATGTACACCAAATGGAACTAACGGATGGCGCCTACACAATCGCATGGGATCTCATCATCAAACGCTATGATAGCCCCCGTTTACAATTCATGCACCACATGAACGCCCTCTACGACTTACCCTTTATCTCAGGGGAAAGCTCATCAGAGATCAAACATATGCTAAACGTAACCAACGTATGCATCAACGAGTTCAATCGTCTCAAAATGAATATCCATTGTAGCCCGCAATGGATAGTCCATAATTTGATCGCTAGACTGCCTACGACAACTGTACAAGCCTGGGAGCATTGCTTGGGAAACTCCAGCGACATTCCGAGTTTCCTTGATTTGTAAACTTTCCTCAACAATCGCCTCGTCAGCATGAAACTCATTGAGAACCGGAAATGTTCACAGCCCACGCAAAACTCTACGATCAAAAAATCGACAAATTATCCACGCCAAAATCCTAAGCAAAAGGGTTCCGGCTTCTACAAGGGCAGCACGTTCCACACCACGACTTGAACCAGCGGTCCCATCTCTTGCGTAAACTGTAAGGGGCAACACATTTTGCGGTGATGTCCTGATTTTTTTTCCCACAGCACTGTCACAGCACAGATCACCGGGATCGGTGATAACTCAAAGAACATCTGTAGATTTAGTACAGAGTTCTCCATAAGCTCATGAATGGACCCTCAATTTCACCATCTGGTGCGACCAGCGTATGTCCTCAACTCGATAACCTCTCATTTACCAAAAAGCAATGTCAACTTGTCAGCATCTTCAGGGATTACACTTCAGGCATCGACGCGTTATTTGGAGTAGATCTAATACCATATTTGTTGCTTCCAGATTTACGGAAAAGAGCTTCAAATTAACCTATTGCTCAACTCACTCAATTGGGTTGGATCGTGTTTGGCCATAGCAATTAAACAAGGGCAAATGTGGTAACCATTCGTTGCCATCAGACTAATCTGGATGCACTGGTAAAGGGTTTTTTCGATCACGATCAAATCAGCTTTAACAGCAGAAGAACAATGGTGTGAGGATCATTTCCAGCTAACCTGCACCCGACAACCCAATGGAAATTACCTGGTCCGGCTTCCGTTAAAAACTGAATTTCATAAGGCAACTCTCCAAAGTCACTACCGCAGAATCTCGACATCAAATGATCACTCCAAGAGGCTAACTGTATTTCTCATCATGTACTCTCCCACACCATGCCGTGGTAAGGAGGACAGTACAACGACCAAAGTTTGGGGGGTGTACGATGCATCATGTACCACTTCGAGCGGAAAATCTCTTCCGACATATATTTCCTTATAGGAGGACCTTTATTGGCACCTCCGGAACCTTCTCTTTCAGACAAGTCCATAAAGCTCCTGAGACAATTTTGGCATTGATGGAGCGCCGATTGGCTTTCACATCTACAAGCACTCCCGAAATGGCGCCAAGAACGAACGAATCTGCAAATTGAC